GGAACTTCCCCTCCCTTCCCGGAACTTCCATTCCCTTCCCGGAACTTCCCTTCTCGGAACTTCCCTTCCCTTCCCGGAACTTCCTTTCCCGGAACTTCCCTTCCCTTCCTGGAACTTCCCTTCCCGGAACTTCCATTCCTTTCCTGGAACTTCCCTTCCCGGAACTTCCATTCCCTTCCCGGAACTTCCTTTCCCGGAACTTCCTTTCCTGGAACTTCCCTTCCCTTTCCGCAACTTCCCTTCCCTTATATTTTCTTATATTTTCTTATCTTTTTCTTATCTTTTTCTTATCTTTTCTTATCTTTACTATCTTTTCTTATCTTCTCTTATCTTTTCTTATCTTTTCTTATCTTTTCTTCTTTACTGTCTTTTCTTCCTCTCATTTTTATTTTCCTTCACTCCTTCCTTTTGTCCTTTGTTCCTCTTTTTTTTTTTTTTCCTTATTTTTTAATTGGTTTCTTTTGCCTGGTTATTTTTTAATGTCAGTTTTCTGTTGTTCTGTGGCTTTATCACCCCAGCAGAGGCCTCAGCTCTATCACTGAAGAAATAATAATAATGACATTGGTGCATTTCCCTTCCTATGTGAAAAAACATAGTGACAGGTGCATGTGCCTGCCTTAAAGTTTGTCTTCTTTGAGATGCAAGGGTCAAAGCTTTATCAACTTGGGGTCATCAACCCATTATAACTGATTAATGGAGCACTCACCAGAACAACAAGGACATTGTGGATGCTGTGTTACAGAGTACTTATTTTAACTTTCTAAAAGCCTTCCAAGGTGCACATTAGAAGTTGAGTAATACACAACAAATTCCAAACTTACAGGAAAAACACCTTTTCTACATTAGACCAAAATAAAAGCAGGTATCTGGAAAAAAGATGAAAGAACTATACTATCTTATTGCACCTTTCAGGGGATAGCAATTTCACAGTGCCTGAAGCCTAACAAGCAATTGAGATAGATGGTGAAAATCACAAGGGGAAGCAAGAAGGAAGATTCTCGCAGTGCCTTCCTTTAATCTGCTTCTTTTAAACAAAGGCAAAAAGAATATTTAGGGGAAACTGAGGAAAAGATGAAACAGGAGGAAGGATAGCAATGAAAGTTATAGTCCTCTTCTGCTGCCCCTAAGCTTCCATCTTGGTGCTTCACACAGCAAAGAAAAAATAGATTGTTCTTGCTGCCTCTGAAGCAGACTATCATTTAGTCTTGCCTTTGAAGAGAAAGCACAGAAAGGGTGTGCATTCCAAGAGAAACCGTAAGCCAGGCCACAGGAGTATGTGCTGCTCTAATGATAGAAGAATTAGTCTTCAGCTAGAAGACCACAATCTCTTCCAAGAATGTCCCATCATTGCTCTGCCATCTCAACCACCACTATCCTTTTCACAGGCTTATTTCTGCCAGACTGATTGAGGCTGCATGCACGTGGGAAGAGCTGCTGTGGCTCTACATGGCTGTGCCGGTAGGTTTGGGAAAAAAGCAATCCTAGTTGTCAGCTGCATAAAACTCTTTCTCAGCTCAGGACCACTGCTGCTGCTGTCAGATGCAAATGCCTGAATTGCAGTTCCTCCTCTTTGTTTTCAGAAAGGCATATACAAGTTTGACAGACACAAAGAAAACTCCATTCAGAAAGTGGCAAGATGTTGAGACAAAGCCTTTCTCTCCCTGAGGTATTTTGTATTTTGTGTAAAGCTTATTTTATGCATTTTGTGTAAAGCTTATTTTGTGTATTTTGTGTAAAGCTTGTTTTGTGTTTTGTGTAAAGCTTAAAGGCTGAGAACAAATTTGTCTAATTAACTCCTAAATATCCAATACATGAAAATAGAAAACAGGTTTTTGTTTTAATTCACATGCAGAAACAATGTAAAAGTAATAATTGATTTCTAGCTCTTAATTTTATATCAGTTTTATTTATCTCATTTGCACTTCAGGATATTCCTTTGGTGTTATTCTCTGAAAAACAGAAACAATTATGTTCTTCAGGTTCTTATCATAGTAGAATGATCTTGATCTTCCCAGGCTAATCTTGAAAACATAAATCTTCACAAATGCCTGGTTTAGAACCAGTTTGCATTTTGCATCCAGTAGAACACTTTAGAGCAATTTAAGTAGTAAATATGAAAAAATTTAAAAGAAAAACAAAGAAAAGGAGAAAAAAGAGAGGTCCTGAGTGCTTTCAACTGTTTCTTCTGACAATGTTCATCAAGACTCCACTTCAGTAGTCTGGAATCTGAGTTGGTTAGATTGATTCAAAACTCACTGCAAGCTACATGACTGTCAGCTTCCAGATATCCTATAGCAGATCAAGAGCTAGCACTGACCTTGTCTACACCTTTGCAGCTTGCCAATGATAGGTGAGAAATTGGTGATAAACAGTTCTGCAGACCTGTGTAAAATAGGGAACTTCTGTTTAGTGCATGCAATAACACACTGTGAAAAATATTGTCTGAGCTTGAGAGTTTCAACCTGAGATTTTCTTGATTAAATACCTAAATGGATGATACGTGAGCAGAATCAGGGTTTTCCTGTTATCATCCTTCCTTTTTGATTTTCAAGTTAATAGTGATGCCTTCCCTATTTTGAAAAACATTTATAGATCTGTGTATTTGAATTAGAATATAATTGAAAGAAATATCCTGACATCACACGTAGGTAATGCACTAGGGAAACAAAAACTTGCAGGCATGTGATTTTTTATCTCTTTTAGGAAAATTCATTAAGCACTGAATACTGTCTTTTTCCATTTGCTACTCACTAATGACAGAAGACTATGTAGCTTTGGTTTGTTGTTTTCAGATTTCTTTTGTACTGCACAAGATTTTCTTGGTCGTTTAATAATCATGCATCTATGAGTTTCAGGAAGTTGTTAAACAAACAAAAATTGTTTTCAATGTTGTATTTTTCTTGTCTTTTACTTGTCTTTTTCTAGATGAGAACAAATAGTGATTTGAAAAGTTAAATGATTTGATATAATTAATTAAGTAAACTCTATTGGTAATTTATTGCAGACTAGTAATTTCTCTGACACTCATACATTTATCTTTGCTCTTTAGGCCATCCCATCACAGAAGAAATTTAACTCATTTTTCGCAAGAATTCAAAATGGAAAATTTATATTAATTCTTCTCCTTACAATACATTCTTACTGGTTATCTCTCAGGTCGTCCCAAGTTGTGTGTTATAATTTTTCTGTCACAGACTGCCTCAAATATCCTACATCTAGAGATCAAGTAGCATTTTAAGTACAAATCATGAGGTCTTAATTCCACCAGGTGGTAAATCTACTCAGAAAATACAGGAAAGAAGCATTGTCTGTTTATTCAAGTTATAGAAAGAACAGAGACTTTCCTTTCTAAGAGTCTTTTACATTCCACTTCTGTATTTGAACTTCTGATGCCATTCAGCCTATTAATTTGTCTTCTGTCCTGTGAATGGTTGAAAAATCTCTCTCCAAGGTGGTTCAAAAGTTTTCCAGTCAATGGTGCTTCTTAGGTCTTTGGAAAATAATTTAACAACAAAAAGATTAAGAATTTTTGCATACATGTATGACAAATATATGTATGTACATACATGTAAATGTTACATTTCAGTATTTGAAATGTTGACAAATATCATAGTGACATTTATATGGAAATTCCACATGTATTATACAAAACCACATAGAATGAATATGTTAGACTACAACTTGAGTCCTCATTTTCACTCGGTGACTACATGCTCAAAGTGTCTGTAGATAACTTATTTTGCACATTTTGTGCAAATGGCATTTGTGCTCTGTACAAGTTTTATTAGTCTCTGAATAAATAAAAACTTGCCGAGTTACACCTAAGTGGTTTACAGCCAGGTAGAGATAAAGAAATGGGATGAGTAATTCATCTACAAACATCCTCAGTCATTCCAAAATTTTGCTTTCCATATCAACCAGTGCTCTAAATGTTCATTATGAAAAATTCTTCATCAAATAATTTCTGCTAATGACTCTGAAACTGGAACTTTTCAGAGAATAAAGAACTGAAATTCTGTAAAATATTTAATGTGTTATCTAGTTCTTGTTGGGCATCAAGATCTTTCAGGATTATATATTTTACTTTAATATAGGTGAGATTTAAATCTAGAATCTGACATGTCTGCATTAAAATCTCTTATCTGTCAATTCTGACAGTTGTGTCAGCTGTCCACCAGTTATTCCTTCTCCATCAACTTTATTGCTGATATCAGAAGCACTTGGGTGAATTTCCTTCACTTTTGCTGTTGAGGCCCATTTCCACAGCTACCCAAAGATAGCTGAGCTGAGAGAAAGAAAATTATGAGGTAATTTTTCTTTGCAGGGGTTCCCTATGCAGCCAGTGGCCTCGCCTGTTCGTCCTGCCAGGGGCCAACCTTTAGCCCCACAAGCTAAAAACACCAGAAGACTGGTTTGTCTAGTAGTGGGTCTGTCTACAAGAAATTATAGACTAAAGAGAAGATCAAACCTCTGCCCATATCTGAATACTTGGATTGTTGTTAGGACAAAGAGAGAGCATTTAGTATCCTAGGCAGCATGTATTACTTAATACAATTTTTCATGGCACCAGGAAAAATGTTCCCTCACTGCAGGACAGACAAACACATCCAGTTTATTCTGTTTCAATGGGTGAGCATCACACACCACTGACTCAGACTCTGAAACTTTTCTATTTTTTTTGTTTCTTTAATGAGTTAGAAAGAAATTGCAAAAAATTCTGCATCACAAGTGAGTTTTTTAGACCAGTTTTAGAAAGGATAGAAAATAATTTTGTTATTCAGCGAGAATATGTCCTAAAAAGCTAAAGGTAAGGCTTTGTTCTGTTTAGACTCAAATACACAGAAATCCCCACCTGGATTAATTTGGTGATTTCCAAGAATGCTTGTACACTCATATTGATCTGATTTATCCCCCAAACATAACTTTGAATGAAGATGTAGCATGTTGTGATTCATGGGTTTTTTAGGCATTCCTGGACAGAACATAGGACCTGTGCTTTTTCTACCAACACTAGTGGAAAAAACTTTAAAGTTGATCAGCTTGATGCACAAAGTTGCTCATCTTGAATTTACCACTTATCTGGAGTTTGTAATCTTCTAGCTCTTCTGGCTGACTGCTGAATTTTTTGTGTGAGGCTGTCCAGCCCAGCTCTTTCCATTACAGTGAAGTGACTCATTCACCTGTAACACAACTTGGCACATTAAGCTGGTGAATTGCATCATTTTCCACTTAACCTGACACAGAGAATGGATTTTCTTTAGGGTTGTGTGTAGTTCAAATGGGGAAAAGTGGTTTGTTTAACCAGGCCTGGTGAAAACAAATGTCTGTTAATTGCTCCATCTATAAAAGCAATACTGTTCCTGTCATTGCTCCAAAATTACTTCAAGAAGACCAGATAGGAAGGAATAAATTACATAGACACTAGAAATAAACAAGCAAACAAAATGGATAATTATTTCCATGGAGTCAGGGAGAGCATAGTGATCTAAGTCTAGTCTCACAATGAATGTAGGGCTGATGGACCAAGAGAGATGGCAAAACACTCAAACTAGAGCACATAAGGATCTGGAAACAAGGAGAGCTGTCAAATCATCTGATTTTCAGTAGCAAAGCTACACCCAGCATACAAGAAAAAGAGCAAATGCTCGTACAGGAAGCACAGTTTGACACAAAAGTCCTTTGTCACAGCCAGGATTTATTCAAAGAACACGTGTGAGTTAGACTTGCTGCTGCTGATCCCAATAAACATTTACCCTGAGCACAAGCGCATGTGATTACTGAAGCTCAGGGGAAGAATTTACTGAAAGTAACTCCTAGGAGACTTGGCTGAAGGGCATTAGAGGTAAACTCATACATTTTGACTAGCCTAAATTTCAGTAGAGCTGCACTAGCTGGAGAGAGGTAGTGATATTTATTGGACATGTAGGCTCAGTTTGATCACAGGCAGTAGCCAAGTATCAGGGAAGCTGCCAGAGAAAGGCTGAGATAAAATGCAAAGCTAAGTACCAAATTATATTGACCAATACAAACCACAGGTTTAAAGCTTTGTCTCCAGAAGCTTACTGAAATAATTATAGATAATGATAGAGCAAAAATATGTGCACTTCTATAAAATGAAACAAACTTTATAGCTATTTCATCTTGGATGTAAAAACCACAGGGTTTTAGGATCTCTGAAAGATATTTGACAAGCTAGTATTTTATTGTATTTCCCAGACTGATGAATAATGCCAGTATGATTCTTTATTTTGAACAATAATATCGATTCTAATAGACAACGGGGTAGAAGAGATTTTTAGGAAGTTACAGAAATTCTTTTTACAGCATAAAGAAAAACCAGCTGTAAAGACAAAATAGTGACCTAGTCATGTCATTGAAGTCTTCCTTGACACCTGTGATTCAAAGAAATAGGAAATGGAGACCACTCAGAAGAAAAAAAGTAAAAAAGTTGGTGCATTAGCCTTCAATTGAGGTGAAAATAAACTTGAATCTGAAGGAGTACTGTTCCAGTCATATTTACTGATCTGTAGGCAGCAAAGAAAACCTTCAGTAAAACAAAATCCCTTGTACTGACAAAACAAGAGCAATATATCACCTGACATTTTAGATAAGAATATGAGTGAATCATAGAACATGAAACAATAAAATACACTTCAAGGGGTAAAA